TGTCACCAGGCAGGCTGGCCACTGCTGAGAATGACCATTGGCTGCTAGAAAACAAAGGGATGGGTGTATTTTTAAGAAGCACCATCTCCAACCTGGGGCCATTTGTTTTAGGGCCAAAAATACCCTCAGACTCTTCAATAATGCAGAAGAGCTTTGCTATATTGTGTTTAGTATAACATAGTAATCGGTTTTATAATGCAGACCGTAACTCTCTTAAGAAATGTGTAAATTGTGAATTAAATATACTCTGAAGAAAACGGGATTGCCCCATTGAAATAGCTTATCAGTAGATATATAAAAATTTAGGATAAGCAAAACCAATTTATTTCCTAGGAGTTCTGAATATTTGTGATTTGTCAGCATATGACAGATTCTGGCTTTCTGAACTCAAAGGCCCAATAGAGTAGTTCCTTGACTCTTAAAGTGTTTTATTTTTAGCAGCTAGATTTTTGTGACCTCAAATCTCCGAAGTGCAGATTTGTATTTTAAATATTTTATAGTGATTTTTATTTTTCAAATAAGTTATTTTCCTTTGTAAATAGGTTTTTCACTTAAGTTTGGATAATTCCACCTTCTTTATCAACTTTTAATTTTCTATAGTGTAAAGGCCCCTTTACTTAAAATGTTATATACTCTAATTTATTAAGGGGTTTTTCTCCAAATTCAAGGAATTGAGAAGATACCTTGGTTTAATGTTTATTTGATTATGTCCTATATTTGAAAAGCAACGTTTTAAAGAAATCGGAGTTAAAAAATCATGAAAATGTGTCATGTCATGTTTTGCTCAAAATTGTTTAGAGACTCCCTTTTACTTATAGTATACAACGTAAAATTGAAACTTCTTCACGTGGAGTCTGCTCATCCTCGTGGCCCCAGCCTACCTCTCCCTCGCTTTCCTTGTCACGCACCCTGCCAATTCCCATGCACGTCAGACTGAAGTAATAAAAACAACGTGTGTTGCTGGTAACTGGCTGCATTCTTTCATGGTCTGTGACTTTGCACACAGACGCTTGTGGCAATCTAAAATACGCTCATCTAGCTCCCCGTGTTGAAGCCACCCCTTCTCCCTACTGATCTATGATACCTACTTAAATTTTACCCTTCTGATGCCTTCCCTAACCTCCTGAGGCAGTTGGAGATTTCTTGTGACTTTTCCAAAGTTCTTATTTTGTCTTATAACAATTTTCCATTGTTCAAGTTGTTCCTGTCTTGTCATTCCCAATAAACTGTGAATCCCTCAACAACCAAAGGGAAAGCATCTTGTTTACCTTTGTTTTCTTAGCATATTTAGCTTAGAGCCCAGCACAAGCAGATATTTCTCCAGAATGGGGGTGGAGGGACTGGCAAGGGATTCCTCACTCCTAAGCTGTAGATAGGAGTGCCATTTACATAGGAATATTAGGAGTCTGGGGAACTACCCTGTATCCCCGAAAATAAGACCTAGTTGGAAAATAAACCGTAGCATGATTTTAGGTGCCAAAATATGGCACCTTGGCATACTGAATATTTTAAGCTGAAGGAGTTTGTGGAAAAGGCACCCTTCTCCCTGAAACAGGTCATAAAACCCTCATGTGAGGGGTGCGTGCCCTCCATATTCTGGAGGAATCATGCTAGGGCTTCTTCTCTGGCTACGTCTTATTTTCGGGGAAACACGGTAGAAGCAGCTACAAAAATACCAGCACCTGAGCCACTCACTACAATTCCAACCTTGTCTGTGAGCCTTGCGTTACCTACCAATGCTCCCTTCAAGTTTCAGATCTAGGAAGTTGGCAATGCTTTATAAAGCTCCTTATTTATTTGCCTCTATCAGTAAAAGAACCTAACCCCCTTTTTCCCATCCCTGCCTGGTGCCAGTCCTGGATAATTCGTAATAGCTTGAAAAGATAATGTGGGTATACTTTTCAGGTTTATTAATAGTAAAATTTAACATTTATTGAGTGTTTACTGTGTGCAAATCTCTTTACTTACTTGTTTTTCATATATTACCTCATCTAATACAACAATCAGATGAAGTATATACCATTATCCCAATTTAACAAATGAGGCGGAAAATGAGGTTCAGTGAGATGAATTAAACTTCTCAAGGCCACACAACTAATTAATTAAAGCAGCCAGAATTTGAATCCAGTGTAACTTTAGAGCCCAATCTCTTATTTACCACCAATGAATATTACCTGGTCATAACTGAAGCCCAAATAGCAGTGTGCACTTTGAAATCACCTAGACCTGGGCTCAGAATCTATCTCTAACATTTACTGGTGGTGAATAACTTCACCTCTGTTACCCGCGTTTTTCTCATGTGAAATGGTAGTACCTTCCCCAAAAGGGTCATTGCCTTCCTAAGTGCCTCATATATACTACAATAAATAGGAAATGCTAGCTCCATTCACCTTCTCTACACTTCTGCTCACGTGAGCTCTGAGGTAACGATTTGTACAGAATAAGGCCTGGCATAAAAAGACAGGTGAGAAAGTTAGATCCTGTCTCTTCTCTATGCTACTACCGTAATGGCAACCAGTGCCTGCCCTCCGGGACCTCCAAGTGTTGTATGGCCATGAGCACATTCACTCTTACGAGAAGCGTGCCTCTTGAGTATTTCATAGTTGTTAATTGCCCATAAATATACTGTAGTAGAATAAAGATTAGAATCAATGGCCTGTCTACTGTATTAGGCTTCTCTTTTGCTAATTCTTAGGGAACATATGAGACTCGGGGGTTGTTATTTATTATATAAAATAGTTGCCCCGTGATTCCATAACAGACCTGGTAATGCCATTCAGCAAAGGAAACTATAAACACAGCTGCTATTTTGGTGTGGCTTGTGGTTTGGTTTGGTTTTATTTGAACTTTTTTATGCAGGCAGATCATTTAAAAGTAGTCATTTGGCATTTTCCCTTGCATTCCTCAAATTCTTTTCTATGTTTTAAAAAGCTTAGCTTAAATCACTTCTATAATTATGCACACAGATTGATCCATCTGGTCTTTTTACTAGCCAATTAATTTTCTTTTAAAATTGTAAGAAGTAGAATAATTATATTTAAATCCTATAACTTCAGTTGGTATCTTTTGTAAATTTGAAGAAAAATATTTTCAACTATTAAAAAATAATTTTATATTCTTTGTTGTCTTCCAATTGATTTCTATATCTCCAGAGGTGGGGGGGGGGCTTGAAATTTCTGCTGTTTCTACTTCTCAACCCTTTCATATGTTAATACTCTGCAACATACCATAAACACTTGTTTGCAGCTGAGAATTGGTACAGCAGATCTGTCTGCTCAGAGCAGGCCCTCTTGCTCTAAGTCACACTGGCTGTGAGTTGAAAGACGGATTGTAGGAGGCAAACCTAAGTGAGGGAGACCGTTTAGGCCTTTGCGGTGGTCCAGACAAGAAATAGTAGCCGTCTGACCCAAGGTACTAAGAGTGATAGTGAAGGAGTGTAGACGTATTCAGGAGCTAGAATTAAAACAAACTTTGTTGATGGATTAGATGTTGATGGCTATGACATAGAGGAGTTAGAGATGGCAGGTTTCTGCATTAGATGCCTCATGCTCCTCACATCTTACTGTGTTTGTTCAGCTCCTGCTTATCCTTTAAAACATCAGTGTATATGAGTGTGTTACCTCATGTGGAAACCTTCCCACTCTAACTCCCATTGAGTGAGGTGACAACTCTGGGCTTTTATAGCACCTAGTCCTTCTCTATGAGAGCATTTTTTTCTGTTTTGTACCTGTGAACTTAATTACCCCGTACCCAGCATACACATAATCTTCACACTCTTGACGTTGTCTTGTGAGGGCAAGAGCCATGTGTCTTAGTCATCATCAGATTCCCAGCACCTAATAGGGCCCCAGCCAGCGCCAGTACATTTTTAGTGAATAAACAAAGTGTCATGTGTAGTTGTCGTCCACAGTGCCTGAGTAATCGAATATAGTAAGTTATCTGGGCCTTTTGATTCGTTTCTCTAGCTTAACTTTTTTTCCTTTTTTTATTTTCTTACTGTCTCTCACTTTACCTTTTTTATACCTTTACAGTTTACCTTACTGAATAAAAGAAAAACATAAACAGCAAAAAATAAACTTGTGCTTTGTGGATTTTGACACTTTCTTCCAAAAGAACCCCTAAGATTATTGATATCTAAAAAATGAGGGCTTCAAATCCTAATAATAATTAATATTTTTTAACTATTACAAGTGCTTAACACATTTGGTTGGAACATTGTACTGACAAAGAGAGTCAATGGGTCTAACCTGTGTGTAGATCAATTCATTTCCATCAGAAGTATTAGGACAGGGTTATTTGATAAAGTGGATAGATCACTGCAAATTTATCATCATATCTCAAGGAAAATGTATTAATGACACTTTATATTATAATGAACATATACCTAAATTATAGTTTAAAGGCAGAATGATCTAAGATATCATTTAGATAATAATCAGTACAAAAAAAGGAAATTACAAAGATTGATGTAAGAAAGAAAAAATGACCAAGCCATGTAATTTCTCATTACCACAGGTGGAGGTAGGGGTGCAAAAGAAAAAGACTTGACCCCTCTAGCCTTTACTTTTCTCATCTTTAAAATGAGAACAGCTGACCCATGATCTAAAAGATCCTTTCCTGCCCAAATAGAAGAGAATGGTAGAGCTGATATGTGATGGAAATTTGGGTTTCAATTATAACTTAGTTCATTCTTCCCATATCTTCAGCTCTGTCTTGTTAAGACCTGACTTTTTAAAAATCGACTCAAATAAAATGTTTTTTTATTAACTGACTATTAAGTATAATTAAATACAAGTGATTTTTCTACTTTCTGCTTTGCAATCAATTCTTTCAGCCTAATTTGAAGCAACAGTCTCTATCACAATATTTAAGATGCATTATTATTACTTACCCTACTTAATTCAAACTACAAAAAATGAATTTTTATATCTAATAATGCTATAAATGTATTCTTCTATAGTTGTTTCTCTTTTAACGTATGTTTTCCTTCTTTGATTTAGATTTCTGCTTTGGAACAGTCACACATCTAATTCCTTGAAGTAGTTTCTTATGTAAAACTTGTAAAGGATCAGAACAATGCCTCCAAGACCATCATCAGGTGAACTGTGGGGCATCCACTTGATGCCCCCAAGAATCCTAGTAGAATGTTTACTACCAAATGGAATGATAGTGACTTTAGAATGCCTCCGTGAGGCTACGTTAATAACGATAAAGCATGAACTATTTAAAGAAGCAAGAAAATACCCTCTCCATCAACTTCTTCAAGATGAATCTTCTTACATTTTCGTAAGTGTTACTCAAGAAGCAGAAAGGGAAGAATTTTTTGATGAAACAAGACGACTTTGTGACCTGCGGCTCTTTCAACCTTTTTTAAAAGTAATTGAGCCAGTAGGCAACCGTGAAGAAAAGATCCTCAATCGAGAAATTGGTATGATATAATTTTTGACTAAATGGCATTGTCATCCTGTTCTAAATGCAAATTACTGTGAAACTTAACTGTTTTATCATTACCAAAAGATTTCCTTCTGAACCAGTTAATTACCTTTGTAATCTTAAATAAATAGATTTTGAAATAAAAAGCATTATAAATCTTAAGTATTTTTTCCCCGTTGGGCTAAGGAACTATTTTTAACACCTTCATATTATTTTATAAAGTTTTCTTTAAGAAGCATCATTTGTAGCATTGACCTAGATTTATTATATCCCAGTTTGGTTTTACCATTCTTTAAAAAATAATTGACATGGATAATGCTTGCTGCCTTTGCTCCAAATTGCTAAATGTATTTTATATATTAAAAATATTTGAGTCCTGTCAATCCTTACTATATGTGTTCATCAAAATTTTTTTCAACCCAGAGAAACTTCTTTATTCTATTGTGACCTTCCAAAACTACCAAGTTCCCTATTTATAAGAAACATGTTCATACTGTGTATTTAATAGAATGTTATATTCTTTATATAATTTTTTAAGGCTTTGCTATCGGCATGCCAGTGTGTGAATTTGATATGGTTAAAGACCCAGAAGTACAGGACTTCCGAAGAAATATTCTGAATGTTTGTAAAGAAGCTGTGGATCTTAGGGATCTTAATTCACCTCATAGTAGAGCAATGTATGTCTATCCTCCAAATGTAGAATCTTCACCAGAACTGCCAAAGCACATATATAATAAATTAGATAAAGGTAAGAAACTGTCAATCTACCATAGTTTGTCACTGTACTGTAAACTTCTATCCGTGCCTATATTTTTGTAGTCTTTTTATCCCAGTTAGATGATAAGCATCTTAAAGTCAGGTACTGCTTATACTGACAAGATATAGTTTAGTGCCAAGTACACAACCTGTGTATAATAAATATTTATTGATTGATTAATTGTGTGCATATGATGCTGATCCCTTGGTTAATTGTTTATCTCAGAATAAAACTAAAGAATTTTGAGTTTGAAATTTTTTATTATGGAATTACACCAGATTATCGTTTTTACAAATAAAAACAAGAATAAATAGAAACATTTTATGAAATTTTGGAAAAACTTTACGCAGTGTTCTTATTTTTTATCATATATCATATCACAAAGAAAAAATAAATGTTTTAATCTTAATGTTAAATGCAGTAATTCTGATCATAATAAATGATGATAAGTAGGTTGACTTTCAACACTTAATATCAATTTCTAGAATTAAGTGAACATGAAAATATATCAATTGTATTGTTTTGGAAATGAAAATTTTATATCAGATAATATCTGTATTTTTCAAGATAACAAAGTAAAGGTTTTAATTTGAAGTTATCGAATAGGTTAACTCACACTCTTTTAAATATAAAAATCTGTTAATAGAATAACTTATTACTCTTTCACCCATATTATTGAAAGTAGTTTAATGCAATATAACATAACATCTTCATTTGAAATTCCTTTCTACTTTAGCATATTTTAAAAAATGGAACACCCTTTTCATTTTTCCCCAACATGCTTTATGAAAAATTTCCAACATATAAGAAAGTTGGAAGAATTGTACTGTGAACACCCAGACCACTCTGACATGGTTATAACCTTTTTGTGTGTATGTCCCTTGGCTTAATTGATCCTAAAAGGAAAAAATTAGAAAATCCATCTTCCTTCCCTTCCTTCTCCATCTTTTCTCTCATTCTGATTCAGCATCTTTCTTTCAGTCTCCATGATTCTTTCTCATAGTTACCAAAAACTCGACCACTTTTAGTACTCGAACCTTTGGTACCATCATGAGTCACTCTTCACAGGAGTTGTATCCATGAAGTATGCCATACAGTTTAGAATGGAAATTAGCTTGGTCTCAGGTATTTGGAACTGACTCATCACAGTTCTTTGTGCTTGCCATAAAACATGAGATTTGGGCATGATCTGGTGGCCATATTAGATTTGAAGATTTACCAGTATTTAATTAGTTGAAGTCATTTTGAATTATGGTTAGAGTAATGGTAGTACATACTTTCTGAAATTTGTCTCTTGAAAAATGAAATATATATGGTGATTGCACCTAATAATGTTTTCCTGTTATAGGGCAAATAATAGTGGTGATTTGGGTAATAGTTTCTCCAAATAATGACAAGCAGAAGTATACTCTGAAAATCAATCATGACTGTGTGCCAGAACAAGTAATTGCTGAAGCAATCAGGAAAAAAACTCGAAGTATGTTGCTGTCATCTGAACAACTAAAACTTTGTGTTTTAGAATATCAGGGCAAGTATATTTTAAAAGTATGTGGATGTGATGAATACTTCCTAGAAAAATATCCTCTGAGTCAGTATAAGGTGAGTGACAAGCTTCAAATATATCAATTAAATTTAAAAAGTAATTACATTGGGGACTAGTATATATTTTTAGGACATGTTTTTTGAAACATAATTAATATTACTAAATAGCATTCATAAGTTTATTTTAATACTATATGTAATTTGAGAGATTAGAGAATTTAATTTGGAAGAACAGATGCTATTCTTCCTTTAAATTGTATATTACTAATATTTGGGGACCCTGCTACATATGTGGATAAGCTTATTAACATTTTTGCAATTATAACAATAATTATATAATTACTCAGATATAGATATTTGATTTGGTTACTAATTGTGTCGTGAGATAAGATATACAATAGTAATGTTTCAGGTATTCTGCATGCAAAAGATGCAACATGTGCTTTTCTACATAGCACCAGTTCTGTATATATAATGGAAATACAGTAATACCTTCGTTTGCGAGCATAATTTGTTCTGGAAACAAACTACTCATATTGCAAGGCATCACTTGTTTACCACGTTAAAATATATTAGAAATGTTTGCTCATCTTGCGAAACACTTGGAAACCACATTACTAGCAATCCAAGGTTTTACTGTACTTTTATTAGCCAATAGGAATTTTATAATAATATGGAATTTGCACAGAAGGCTTTTCATGTACTTGTCATTTTTTTAAAAGGTTTTATTGTATTTATTTGAATATGCAATGTAAGCAATAAAGTAAATGTGTTTCTTGTCAAAAAATAAAAAACAACATAAAAACATGTTGGCAGTTACACTAACTGCAAAATATGGGGTATTTCATGATTTTTATCTCTTCCCAAGCAGTGACATGAGCAGTAATTAAATATTTTTAAAAATTCATGATTTACTGTTAATTAAGATACACTATTAATACTACTCTACTATTTTTATTCATTAAATAAATATAAGAAGCAGCTATATGAGGTGCCATCAAACAATATGGTGAATGTTTAAATAAAAAAAAGTTGTAACAGTAAAAGACACATTGCCATTAATCTTCCTCAAAATACTCCCCCTCACTTCAAACACCCTTATCTCATCATTCTTGGCACTTTCTACAGCAGTTCTTGAAGACCTCGTTCATCAATATCTTTAGTTGTGCTGTCATGGCTGCTTCGATGTCCTGAATCACTTTTACTTTGAGCAAGAGCCAGAAGCCTCAGGGAGCCAGAACCAGTGAATAAGGTGGATGAGGACACACCATGATATTTTTGACAGAAATTGCCGTATACCAGAAGCGATGTGTGACATGGAGCGTTGTCATGATGGAGGATGATTTACGGCACACTTTAAAACACGCCTTCTCTTAACCGTAGCTCACACCCGACTGACTGCACCAAACAAGTTGAAACTTGTCACACACTGTTACTAAGGTTCGATGCATCGCTTCTCATATTGAAGATCCCTGCCTTTCTGTTGGATGGCACTTGGCAGCAACATTCACTTTTTTTTTTTTTTCCTGAGAGGATATAGGAAAGGCGAGTGGCAGCTGCAGGTATTATGCTGACCTGGGCTGTCAAAGTCTCTCCAGGTTGCTCTCGCATGCAGTTGGACACCATATATTTTTTTATCACAACAGAAAGGCTCCATATCACACATCACTTCTGGTACGGCAATTTTGTCAAAAACATTATGGTGTGTCCTCACCCATCTTACTCACCGGATCTGGCACTGAGCGACTTCTGGCTCTTCTGCAAAGTTAAACTGATCATAAAAGACAAATGTTTTGAATCAATTCAAGACATCGAGGCAGCCAGGACAGCACAACTAAAGACACTCATGAAAGAGGACTTCCAGAACTGCTTCAGAAAGTGGCAAGAACAATGGGGTAAGTGTGTTTGAAGCAAGGGCGAGTATTTTGAAGGGGATTAATGGCAATATTCTTTCTTACTGTAATGAATTTTTTTTAATTTAAATATTCACTGTATTTTTTTATCACACCTCATATTTGTACCAAGCTTATGCTAAGTACTGATTTATAATACCAAGCAAGACATGGTTCTGGCCCTCAGGCTGCTTACAGTCTAAGTGGGGCTTGTGGATAAGAGAATAGGCTATTACAATATGTATATAATAGCATTTATATTAAAAATTTCTATCCTAACGACCATTTCAAGGTTCAGACCAATGTAGTTTTTTTTCTTTTTTACTATGTCCCATAATTTTATCAGTCTCCTCTGTGTTTTTTTTTGTTTGTTTTATATTTTAACAAAACAAATATTTTCAAGAAGTGTTGGGACAGAAGAGCAAGAGAGCAGCAACCCTGGCTTGGACATCAGTATGACTTAATAGATTGAATGATGGAAGTTTACTAAACGATGTTGCTTTTCCCTTAACAAGTGCAGTGTTTTCATAATGAGCATCCTCTGATCCTTGTTTTTAATTTTTTTTGGTGTGGGGCAGAGGCTTCCAGTTAAGGGTAGAACTAGTGTCAAAAGCTGACCTTATTTTTTTTCTTTTATACAATTTATATTCCAAGAGGTGCTTGGTTGATCCTATGCTGTAACCTAACTCCCAAATGTTAGTATTTTAAATGTTAAATATAGCAACTACTAACAAATGTGGTCGATAATGCTTTATTTTTTACAGATTAGTATGTAAATTCTCTGATAATACCCTTGTTGCTTTTAAAATGAAAAACCTTATAAAAAATGGCTTCCCCCATCCTCCTTCATCTCTTACAGTATATAAGAAGCTGTATAATGCTTGGGAGGTTGCCCAATTTGATGCTGATGGCTAAAGAAAGCCTTTACTCGCAACTACCAATGGACTGTTTCACAATGCCATCTTATTCCAGACGCATCTCCACAGCTACACCATATATGAATGGAGAAACATCTACAAAATCCCTTTGGGTTATAAATAGTGCACTCAGAATAAAAATTCTTTGTGCAACCTATGTGAATGTAAATATTCGAGACATTGACAAGGTAATGTGTTGATGCTTATTTTATATAAATTATTTTATATAAACCTTTTTTATTTAACTATTGCATAATAATCTGTTGACCTGCAGTGTGTTTTCTGATGGCTAGAAAACCACCCATCTACCTCAGCTATTCCAGTTTATTGTCTTTTATCTGTAATTCTAAAATCCCAAATTTTAGTATTACAATAGTTCTAATATCTATAATTCTAAACTCTTAAAACCACAAGTTTCACAGAATTCATTGGGCAGCAAACCCTGACCTTACCTGAAGCGAGGTTTTTTTGGTAGTCTTTATTTATCCCACTTACTATAAATATTCATGTGTTTTGTTGCAGAAATATTAATATCTTTATGGAATGTTGTTCTAACTGCTAAGAGTATTAAGTAATATTTAGTTTATCTTTCTAAAATATGAGTAACTCTAAATTCCATACCTGGCCTAAAGGAATTGTGGGCCTATATTTATATTTATTAGTCTGATGTCCCCCTGAAAGCAGCAATAAATTTTGGTAAAGAATCTGCATCAGTATTAACTTATTATATATGTGAAGAAAAGGAGGACTGAAAAGCTCCATTTGAATAGAAATTTCTAATGGATTCTCTTATTCATATCAGTTACACTCTTTTGATATTGTTTAATATTGGTTCTATCTAGTATGTGTGTGTGCATGTATTGTGTATGTCTGTGTGTATATATTTGTATACAATACTTTATTTTTTTTTCTTAGATCTATGTTAGAACAGGTATCTACCATGGAGGAGAACCCTTATGTGATAATGTGAACACTCAAAGAGTACCTTGTTCTAATCCCAGGTAAGGAAGTATATGGATTTATATCTCCACAAGTCATATTAGTGTTTAGCAATGTAAGCAATAAAAGTAGTATAGTTTACATTATTAGTTTTCTACAAGTCATATAAATCACCAGACATGTACATAGGGAACTTAAGGACGTTCTGTCAAATGGGTATCAATCACAGGTTATTGATTGTCTGTAAAATTTTATCTGTAGGATTTTTCTGATTCTCTCTTCCTATTGGATAAAGGAGAGAATGGAATATGGTTACAGTTTTATACTGATGATTACCATATATTAGATTCCTAAACCTAGCATTTTATTCTTTTCTTACCTCCATTTATATTAAGAAGAAGTGAGAGTTGGCAAACAACTCCAGAGCCAGACTCTGAGGCAGTTTTCTTTACATCACTTCTAAGAATAGATTAATATAACATTCAAAGAAAGAGTCTTTGGGAATAAATAAGTTTCTTAGGGGGAAGAGGGGTTATTGGGAATATTTTAAATTATTACTGCCTAGATGTAATGACAAAATAAAGGGTAGTATAATCTAAAAGCTTGCCATCCTACCATTTCTCTGCCTTTCTGTATAGAATCATTTGGGAGTATGAGTCTGGCCCTCAATATATAATAGTAATATTTTAAGAGACCCCAAATTGATACTAAAGATGTATGTTATAGACAAGTACTAGAACTAGTGAATCCTCCAGAAGTAAATTTCATAATGAATTTAGACTGAATTCTAGGAGAGTCAAGAAAACGTTTTGATCTTGTAATTAAGTTGCTAGAGGTGGCCACCATTCTAGAACCTAGGTAAAGTTCAAAGAGATGGTAGCCTTCTCTACCTGGAGGAACAGAAATAGTTCCTCACGTTACCTGAACTTGTAGGTCAGAAAGTACGTCATTCAGGTTAGAGCTTATGCTGTGGCAACAAACAACCCCAGGATCTTTTAAAATGTTTGTTAAAACAACAAAAGCTTCTTTACCACTCATACTGCATGACTGTCACAAGTTAAGTGGGGTGGTTGTCCAAGGAACAGCAGAACAATACTTGAGTAAATAATGGCCAAAAGTTTACAAATTTTGTGAAAATTATAAAACCAGCAATCTAAGCAGTTCAATGAGCCCTAAGCAAAGACTCCAAAATAATATTGAGTAGATTTATCCTCGTTGTTTTAAGTACCAAAAAGTAAGTTAGCTTTATGAAAACAAAAGGTAAATTTATTTAGTTCTGTAAGATTAAAAATCAAAATTTTAGTAAATTGAAGGACATATTTACAAAGGACTTATGTTTGATTATCTTTTCTGCAAGAATTCTCTAGTCCAAAAGGTAAAATCCCTATGGTGGTGGTATGAATATTTAAATAAATTTTTTTTACTTTTATTTATTTAAAAAAAAAATTAGTGATAAAAGAAAATGAAGTTATTAGAAAGACAGAAAAGTAGATTTTAAAAGTTCTCACTGAGATTAAGTAATTGTTCCAAATCTGTGATTCCTATATGCTAGATAAATTATTTTATGATTTCTTCTTAAATGTTACCAGTTATCTCCCAAAATCAGAATCAGTTTGGACTATATATATGGGGGTGCCAAAAATATGGATACACATAACTTGTATTCATCTTTTGTTATCAGTATATATTGAGTATTACAATTTTAATAGTTTTTTCCTCTCTTAAAATGTGTATACATTTTGGGGGGGCACCTTCTGTATATAAAACCATTGCCTAAAAATAAAGAACTTAATTATGTGTGTGTGTGTGTGTGTGTGTATGTTTTTGTGTGTATGTGTGTGTGTACTTTAGAAGAAACATGCTTTATTTGGTTAGCATAATACTGTAAACAGCTACATTCACTGGATCTAGCTCTCACAGAACGTGTGTAGAATATTTCCCTTAAACTATGAGCAATTCTAAAGATTTAGAAGTAATAAAAACCCAAGGATTTATCAAATCCCACAGTATTTCTTCTCCCTGTATATATTGTTTCTTTTTCCTTTAGAATTCCTTTGTACTAAATTCCCCCATTTTAAATGTAAGTCTTCTCTGTATAAGTGGATCATATTTTTTTTCTCTCTTCCTCCATACTTAAGCAAAGATACTAGAATAAATAGAACTTATTTTACCGATAAAGTTTTATACATTAGTTTGGCTAATTAAAAATAGAATTTGTGTACCATTTTTGTTGTTAATTAAGTCTTGTTTTATTTATAATCAAAACATAGAATTGTGAAGAAACCATTTGAAAAGTTTTCAAAATTAATATCTAGCACTTGAACTTTTACCATGGACCAATTATTCTTCTAATCAATTTACTTGTATTAACTCATTTAATCTTCACAACTTTATAAGAGTAGGTACTATTAGTCCCATTTCAAAGATGAGAAAACAGACAAAGTGAAGGTCACACATGTAGTAAAATAGTTGAAACAAGATTCTACTGTGGGTAGTGTGACTTCTGAGTCACACTCTTAGCCATTGCTACAATGTTTAAAAAAAATAAGACAACTATGTATTTTACTTGACTCTTTACAAATATATCCACCAAATAGACATAATTTCACATGTAACACTCAGTAAATTGGAGAGAATTTATCATTAAAATTTGAAAAAAATTTTGTCACTTTTTGTAGTAACTTTTTATTCTTACCTTATTATAAGTGTCAAGTTTTAGTACATGTGAAGAAGCTCTAAAATTCAAATACTTTCTGCTAACATATCCTTTATTTTATTTACATACTGACTTATTTAAGTTAATGGGTTCTTCTGAGTAAAACTATATCATATATAGTTAAATATCGCAATCATAATAGGAAATTTTATTTTACCTTGTTTAGCTTCCCTTTTCTATTTGCCTTTTTTATAAGCTAATTTTTTAACTGAAGTATAGCACAAATGCATAAAAGTATACAAATCATCATTGCACAGTTCAGTGGGTTATCACAAAGTGAACACTCACATAGCCACTACCCTGATTAAGAAACAGAACATGTACTAGCATTCCAGAAGCCCCTCCATATGCCCCCTCCCAAAGGCAACTACCATCCTGACTTCTAACACTGTTGGTTAGTTTTGGCTGTTTTTGAATTTTACATAAATAGACTAAAGGACTAGATATTCTTTTGTGTCTGTGTTTTTTCACACAGTATTATGTTTGTGAGATTTCATCCATGATGCAACTGGTGTTCATTTCCATTGCTGTGTAGTATTTCATTATATGAATGTATTCCAGTTTATCTGTTTCTGCTATTGGGTATTTAGATTGTTTGCAGTTTGGGGGATAGTACAAATAATTCTATTAACATTCTGTGTACAAATGCACAAATTTCTTATATCTGGAGGTGGAGCTGAGTCATAGGTCAGTTTTAGTAGATTATGCTTTCCAAATGGATTGTATAAATTACACCTTCATTAGCAGTATATGAGGTTTCCTGTTACTACACATCCTTACCACCCCTTGGTATTGTCAGTCTTTATAGTTTTAGCCAGCCTCTTGTGTATTGATATCTCCATGATATTTTGTTTTGCGTTTTCTGGGGGATAAACTGATGTTGACTACTTTTTCATGTTTATCGGCCATTGGGATATGTTCTTGTGAAATGTCTGTTCTAGTCGATCTCTGACCTGTTTTTCATTTTACTTATTTTTTTCTTGATGATTTGTAAGGAGTCATTTACATACTCTGGATAAAACCTTCTTGGTAAATTATTTTTTACTTTAAAATTTCACATAGGTGGAATGAATGGCTGAATTACGACATATACATTCCTGATCTTCCTCGTGCCGCTCGACTTTGCCTTTCCATTTGTTCTGTCAAAGGCCGAAAGGGTGCTAAGGAGGTAAAGTATTTTAGAAGGAGCAATTATATTAACCGCTAGACACTCCTAATATACTGCTGATTGAGTTTTTAGTCAAGAAATGGATATTATTTTTCTTTATCTAAAATAAATAAAACATCATAAAATTTTTAATAATTAAATGTATTATAGAAGAATACCTTGGGAGAGCTTCCAGAATTTATTTGTGATGAATAATTATGTCCTGAGGTCATATTGATTCAATTTTTTAAACATGCAAAGTGACTACAAAGATCTGTTAAGTGATTACATTCATGTATCTGTCTTGCTTGCTTTGATTCATGTTTCCTATCAATAATTAAAGAAAATACATGTAATTTCAAATGGGAAAAAGGAAAGCAAGTTCTTACATTTTGAAAAAATTAATACGACTTGTTATAGACATTATTATAGAGGCAGTTGTTGGCCTCTCTTTCCTGGGAAAAAAAAGAGTTTTGAAATGCATTCTATAATTTAATCCATGGAGTATGAACATTTTCCTGTGTTTTATTTTTTTGTTTTTAAAGGAACACTGTCCATTGGCCTGGGGAAATATAAACTTGTTTGATTACACAGATACTCTAGTATCTGGAAAAATGGCTTTGAATCTTTGGCCAGTACCTCATGGATTAGAAGATTTGCTGAACCCTATTGGTGTTACTGGATCAAATCCAAATAAAGTAAGCTTTTTATTATCATAAATTACAGTTTTTTCTTTTTTTATGACGATCAAGCACAATAAATATATATAATAACTTTTATTCCATCTCTTAGGAAACTCCATGCTTAGAGTTGGAGTTTGACTGGTTCAGCAGTGTGGTAAAGTTTCCAGATATGTCAGTGATTGAAGAGCATGCCAATTGGTCTGTGTCCCGAGAAGCAGGATTTAGTTATTGCCATGCAGGACTGGTAAGGCAAATCACTGAGTTCTCTTAAGTATCCATCATAATCAGTGGATTTGGGTACATACTCTGTATGGAAAGGGTTTCATGTGTTTAGTTACACAGGCATACCTACTATAGGCTCTAGGACAGTATTGCAATATAAAATTCTGTATATTCTAATATTCTTACTGTAGCTCTGCCTCTTCTTTGTTTACTCAGAGCTCTAGCCTGCCTTTATTTAACAAATATTTTTTTAGTTTCAACAGACCCAATGTTAATTGAAAGATAGAATCAGTTTCAGACTTTTACAAAAAACAAACAAACAAATTTTCTTTTTTCTTGGAAAGAAAAAATTTATTGTATGATATGTATATATTTAATGTATGATATGTACTATGTCATAAAGTTGTAACCTAAAAAGACCTCCATTGAGTATACAGTCTAATGGTGAAAATAGACATTAAACTGGTAAAAGAAGAAATATAAGATTATAAATCATGGTAAGTGCCACAAGGTAAAAACAATAGTGTGCCAAGAATGAGTAACAGAGGGTTGGGAGAAAAAGGCTAATATATATTGGGTTCAGGAAAGACCTCTCTGAGGTTATAACATTGAGGTTGAACCAAAGTATAAATATGTTGCTAATTGAGCTTGGAAGCAGAAAAGAGTATATAGAAAGTGGAATTTAAATATTGATCTAGTTGTCTGATCTTGGCCACAACTTTGCAACCACAATATAAGTGGGTTTAAGGACCATTAATTCTCCCTTATTTTTCAAGGGCAAAGGTGTCAGTGCTAAGAGAAGAGGATATTTTTGTTTTTTGTTGTCTCTTTTTCCCCAGTTTTCAAATTTATCACTTTTTCTTTGGCCTAGCTGTAGGTTATAGATAGGCCAGCCAATGGATATGGGGCTAAGAGGTCCTGAGATATGCCTACCATGTTTCATATATGCCTGGGTGCAGTAAGAGCAGCACCAGGGGCCTCCAGCAATCTTGTACTTAGGAACTTTTATTAGTTTACAGCTGTGTAATCAGTAAGGGTTTACTAATACCTTTTGTAAACTGACTAATAATCATAATAACCTTTAGCCTTCCTGCCTATGTACTTTCAGATTTGTAAAAGGTATTTTGATAAGTACAAATTAATTGAAAATCATTACTGAATTCTATCAGATAACTAAAAGTACAATTAACTTTTTTGACATTAAAAAGAGATTCTCTTGAAAAATGTAGTCACTATTCTGTAAGTTTAATTCCTTGATAATAATTGCTAACATTTATCAAGTACTTACTGTGTACCAAAAGCCATACCAATCACTGTTCATGTATTATCTCATTTAATCTTAAAAGCACTCTCTATAAAGGTAGATACTATTACAATCCTTATTTCACCAGTAAGGAAACAGGCTTAAGGAGTCTAAATAACTTATCCAGTGTCACTGTTTAAAAAGTATTGAGCCTCTTACTCTTAACCATTCTGTTGTAACCAAACAGGAATTCCTTAATTTTTAAATTGGGGTTGAACTACTAGTAAGCATTCCCATGAAATGTCCTTAGCCCTGTCTAATTAGTTATATCTATAAACTAACTGAGTTACAAGAGTAAAGTCACTTGAAAACTCGTTTATCTCCTATTTTATTCTTTCAGCTGTTAAATTCAGTTTACTATCATGGTATGTTGGAGCCAATTTTAGCTTTTGAGTTCCTTTTTTGAGCAAATCTAACTGTAAGGATTAATATTTTATGACTTTTTTGCTTCCTAGAAAAATTTTTTCTTTCAAAGAAAAATTGTTTATCTTTAAATAGACTAAAACTGATTCTATCTTTCAATTAACATTGGGTCTGTTGAAAACTTTTATAAATCTAAGGTACATTATAAGATCTTAGTTTTCATATTTCATCATTATTTATGAATTTTATTTCCAACTATGCTAAAAAAAGACTAATATGAAGATATAGAAGGATAGAATAGCTTAGAAAGGTGATAAAATAGTGAAATAAATCATCACTATTATATCACCCTTCAGTCTTCTTATTGCATTGCCTGTTGTCTTGCACCATCTTTCCAGAGGTATAAAGAAGTCTGCAAATACCATCTTGTAGTTTTTGTTGTTTTTTAGGTTTTCATTGAACACTGTTGAGAATTCAGGAATTTTCCCCTACCACTCATAATGACAAAGAGAAGAAAATTGACAGAAGGAAGTATTTCACAATTATTAGACAAATTAGAATGTGATGCAAAGAGACAATATCACTCTAAAGCAGTTTCTCAACCTCAACACCTTTGACATCTTGGGCCAAATGAATCTTTGTTAATAGACACTGTCCTGTGCATTACAGGAAGTTTAGCAGCATCCTTGGTCTCTACCCACCAGATGCCAATAGTACCACTACCCCAAGTTGTAACAACCAAAATGTCCCCATACAGTATCAAAGTCCGTGGGAGTTAGAGGGGACAAGATCACCCTAGTTGAGAACCACAACTTTAGCCTTTAATGATAATAGTGAAATTGATCATATAAGTGAAATATCAGATGACAATAACCAAAATGAATTTTCTTAAACTCAAGAAATGATAAGTGAACAATATATTTCCAAGGACAAAAAGGAAATACAATATTCACATTCAGTTAGTCATTCAACAGGAATGACTTCATCACACAATATTTTTTTTATAAGAACCTGGACCACACATCTTTTGTCTTATTCTTTCCATTTTTTATGATATACTTTCTAAATGGATAAATGCTTCAGGCAGGTGTGTATGCAAAGATGAGTGGAAAGACAAAGGTGATGTAGAAATTTTTAAATTCCTTGAATTGATTATTCTGATTGATATCTGTAAGTATAAAAATAGAAATGTTTTGCAATTATGAGGCAAGGAAAATGGTCATTTTCTCTAGCAAAATCATGAGCCATCAAAGTTTTCAAAAGTATTGGTTTTTGACATGCAAGTACTAGAAGAAAAACCAGAAGTGATGACCAGCTAGAATTTATTAGATATGTACTTAAAATTTGGAATTAGTATTTGCAAGATGGTTATGTTCCAGGCTCATGCCTAACAGTTGATGAGCAAGCAGTTAGTTGCATTCAAAGGATGTTGCCCATTTTGGATTATAAACTTGGTTTTACTGTGTTTAAATTCTTATTAAGATGTCAAACATAATTGTTTTCACCATCACTTTATTCTTCTCTAAATTATTGTATATTAAAAATATAAACAAATAAAAATAAGTAAATATTAAAGTAGTAAGAGTCCAGTGATAAATAGTAATGACTAAGGGCCAGCCGAGTGGCTCAGTTGGTTAAGAGCCCGCTCAAGAGTTTGAGCTCTGAGCAACAGTGGTTCAAGTCCCGACCCGAGCTGAGCAGCCGCTGAGCTGCCAGCAGGTGGCAGGATGGCTCAGCTAATAAATAAATAAATAAATAAATAAATAAATAAATAAATAAATAAAATAGTAATGACTACTTTTCCTGGTGAAATGAGTGTTAAGTATTATCTCTTACTTGGACTATTGCAGTAGCTTCCTAACTGGTCTCCCCCTTCCACAGAGCAGCCAAAATAATCTTTATTAAACATAAATCAATTCACGATGTTTATCCTTTAAATAGCTTTCATTAAAAATAAAATTCAGGGCCGGCCGAGTGGCGCGATGGTTAAGAACTCGCTTGGGATGCCAGAGAGCCCCGGTTCGGATCCCACATATGAGGGCCAGTGACACTGCCCTCTACAGCTAAGATGCTGAACAACAGCTCAACCTGGAGCTGGGCTGCCATGAGTCGCCCAGCGATGGCGTAGGCTGCAGTCCCTGTGGCAGTGGGTTGCCATGGGCTACCGTATGTAGCCAGCAGCCAGCGTGAGCGGCCAGCAGCCGCAGTGAGCGGCCGTCCAGAAGCCGGCGACTGATCTGCCTCGCCAGAGAAGAGCACAATGATGGTGCCAACTTGGGCCAGTGAAGCAACATCCTCCACAACTAGATTGAAGAACAAGACGACAGCAACTTGTCTGTTCCCCTTCCCCCAATTCCCCAGCACTGTTCCCATTCCCCCAATTCCCCAATAAAAATCTTTAAAAAAAAATAAATAAAATAAAATAAAATAAAATTCAAACCTTTTACCCTGATCGCAGATGTTAATGCTCTGAACCTGGCCTCCTGCCGTTCCTCTCTCATCTACTGGCTTCAGGCTCATCGGCCTTCTGCCTGTTCCTCCTTCACGTCCAACTCGTTCTCTTTGGGGCACTCCCATTGTTCCCTCTCTGTGCAGGAGTCTTCCTGATCTTGGTGTGGATCTTATCATTTGGATCACAAATTAAATATTAGCTTCTCAGAGGCCATTTCCAAACACCCAGTCTAAAGTAGCCACTCAGTCATTCTCTGTGACATCACCCAGAGTATTTATATCAACTCTCTAATACTTGTCTTATATATTCATTTAATTTCCCACTATAATGGAGGCTCTGTGAGAACAGGTTCTTTTAGTATTCTGTGTCCTGAGCAATAAAAACAAGACAAGGCACACAGCACATGTTTTAATAACTATCTGTTCAATGAATATGTCCCAGTAATATTTCTTTATGCTGTTAGATAAATTAACAATATTTAAATGTGTAAAAACCAAGTAGCATGGATGTTTGATTTCATTTTTAGCAATTATGAATATGTGAACCCATTCTAAGGGATATATGTTTGGTATAATATATTAATATGCATTCATAATTGTTTACTATGTATTTAATATACCTGTATTTAAAGGGAATAAATACATTACTTGGAATCTTGAAATGATACCAAAAGTTAGGGTGTTTTCATTTTAGTTTCCAAACACTCAGTGTACAGTGTACTAATAGGGGTGTTTCTTCTTTTTCCCCTTATTTATTTTTACTTTTTAAATTTGAAAGCCTCAGAGTAATTATAAGAATGAATTCAGGCAAATATTATGAAAGAATTTACATTTTTATTTTATTATTTTACAATTTCTTATTCCGGAAACATTACCAGATTAGTTAATAGAACACTAGGAGGGGGCCTCATCAGGAAGAGAAGTAAATTATTCACTACTACCCCTAGTATCCCAGTCAACTCTGATCCCTGACTAACGTTGTCAGTTACAGTTCTGTGGTTGGTGGTAATGTTAACCAAATAAGTTATTGGATTTGTTCCACAAATACCATCTTACATTGATTCTTTCCTGTCCCTGAAAATAGTCTTGCAATGAGAATTGTAAACTATTTCACAACAGTTAAGCAATGTAAAGTTATTGACAATTTTCTTTTTCTGTAGATCATTCATGAATCCTGGCAAAGGAAATCATTAGGTATTGTTTTATATTACAGAGTAACAGACTAGCTAGAGACAACGAATTAAGGGAAAATGATAAAGAACAGCTCCGATCAATTTGTACCCGAGATCCTCTATCTGAAATCACTGAGCAAGAGAAAGATTTTCTGTGGAGCCACAGGTGAGTGTTAAGATGGAGAGTCTGTTTCTTTCTTCTGTTACAGAAAAAAGAACAGACTTTGGCTGATCTTGCCATGTTTCTACCATACCTATTAAAGTAAATAAAGCATAATTTATGTGACTTTTTATTATAAACATTATCCTTTTTAAAGCTGTGGATGTAGATCAATATTTCTAGAAAACCATGCTGCATTGGTACTAACCTTGCACTTTGAAGGCTTTTTAAAAATTCTAAATCCCTGATTTTTTTTGGATTTGATTTTCATTTTTGTTTTTTCATAAAATTCAAGCTCCAGGAAAATATCCTGTAGTTTTAGATCAGTTTAGCTGTGTTTTAGTTGGTCTAGCTTTTTCCATTTTTAGGCGTCCCTCCATTTTTCTTTTTTTTCTTATACTTCCTCAAAGTAATAGTGTAATGCCTTATTTTTACTCATGAAGGAATTATCCTACTACTTGGTAAGGGTACACTGGCTTATTTAAATAAAGCAGTTGCAATGCATTTCTGCATCAAATTCATAATTCTGTCCATTGACGGCAGTAGAAGTGGTTACTCTTCTCGTGTTTCATGTTACATAAGTGGGTGAATAAAATGAGCTTTATAAAGAGTGTTATAAAATAAATTCCTAATTTTTTCTAAGTACCTGTCTTCCATTTGGATTTTCTTTTTGTCTTCCTTGTCATTATAACTGTGTCTAAGTATATATGTACATATATACACAACTATAGTGTTAAACACTGATTTCTTTTGATTTTAAGGAAGGCTAGTAATGGTAAGTTTTAAAGGTGTTTGGAACTCTTGAAAGATTGCACAGTTGAAAATTTAGACATCTAGGCCTTTTGAATAACATGCAAGAATATTTTTTATTTTGTTTTGTCTTTTCCACACAGACACTACTGTGTAACTATCCCTGAAATTCTACCCAAATTGCTTCTGTCCGTTAAATGGAATTCTAGAGATGAAGTAGCTCAGGTAAATGTGTGTTTGAGATTACTGACTAACTGTTGCATAAAATTGGTATGTTGCTCACATTGTTTTCTCTCGAAAGTCTGCATCAATATAAGAAATTAAATAGATTGTTTTAAATTAATTAATAATGGTAATATAGTGGAGAAAAATACTGTTCACACCACTTCCACTGATAAAAATTAATTATAGCTGAACATTTTAAGCACTGAATTCATAAGGGGAGCTTTTATCTAAACTAACTTTAAGGGCCAGCCGAGTGGCATGTTGGTTAAAAGCTGGCTTGGGACGCCAGAGGGCCCCAGTTCTGATATCACACATGAGGGCCAGTGACACTGCCCTCCACAGCTAAGATGCTGAACAACAGCTCAACTTGGATCTGGGCTGCCATGAGTCGCCGGCGACGGCATAGGC